TCCTCCCTGCGCTGTGAATGTTTACATGTTATGTTCAATTAAACCATGGCAACATGTAATGTTTGTGTATTATTATTTTCAGCAGACTGTGTTTTTCTATTGTTGTGACTTAGATGACGTTCAGAGCACATTTTATGACCAATTCATGCAAAACTCTGCGTTATCCCAAGGGGTTCACATACTTTTTCTTGCAACTGTATATCTCCATTATTGCTATTTTGGCACAAAGAATGTGCATGATTCTTGAAGATACTGAACACTAGTAAGGAAATGATTTGAAAACTGAGAAATAGCTTTTTTGTTTGAATTATTTCATGGAATCCAGTACCGATGAAAACCTTTCAGTGCTGAACGTATTGGTTCAAAGAATTCATGTATCAATCTTGATTGTGATGCAGATGGAAGTTGTCTATATTTTCTGCAAATTTTTCCCCTGCTTTTCAAGGCTGAATAGGAGCCAAGATATAGGATAACATATGAATAGAGAATCTGCATCCCTAATGACTGTAAATCCAACATTTCATGCTCAATTCTGAGGTTTATCTAGGGAGACAATGAGTACATGAATTTATGTGTTAGGGAAATTTGGCATATATTATTTGCAACATTTAAACACTATAACCACTTGTGGCCCTTGAAAATTTTGAACCTGGGGCAGGATTGGGAAAAATATATCTCACACCCCTAATATATATAACAAAAAGCTATTGTTTCTACCCAGAAGAAATCTTGGCTTTTTTTTCCTTTCCACTTCCTTCAGGGAGATTTTATGGCTTAGTGAATTCATGCTGATCTATTTGAACTATCACACTATCATATTATGTTATGGATTGTTGTTTTCAAAACTGTGTGGTAAAGCTTCAGAGAGTAGTAAATCTTTTGCAACATCAAATTCCATGTGGGAACAATTTACCTCTTCACCTAGTTTTATGAGTCAATGAGGAGGAACTTAAATTATTTTAATTCATTTTTTTTTACTTCTCATTGTGTTTCTTTTCTTATGCTTTTAAACAAGCCACACTCCATGCAAGAGTGATGTTGATTTAGGAGACAGTCTTCTCTATAAAAATTGCCAGATTTCACTGCAATACTTTGCTCATGGATTATCTGTTAGCATTTATTTAAGTCTTAAACCTCTGAACGCTGTCTAGACATTTGAGATTTCCTTTTTTAATGGCTAAAAAGTTAAGCCAGGATTTCCTTCCTCATCTTTTTGCAGCCATCACAAATCAACAAATGTCTCTTTTGTTATCCTGCTCTTCAAAGATTTTGTTGTAGGATTTTCATTCTTACTTTAAGTATCCTATGTAGAAATAAATTCTTGTATCCCTCAGACACAATGACACAACTGGAATTGACAAAATGCTAGTCTTAAAACAAAAATCTGTGAGCCTCCCAACCAAGTTGAGAAGTATATGTGCAAAGAGGATTCTGCAGTCATTTTATCAACTTGCCTCCACTGCAGATGGAGATCCAGAAATGGGGAAATCAAACTATATTTAGGTCCATCCTTAAAAGCAATCCTAGCAAATCAGTGGAGCACTGATTTAATTAAAAAGCCCTGCAGCGTGCAGGGCAGAAGTGGAAAGTGATTTATATGTGCCTGCCTGTCTCTGGGTGCTTCCACACAGAGAATTGGTACTATTCCTGCAGTGGCACCATGTCCCATGTGATCGTATATTTTCACCCCCTTTTGAGAGTTGAGCTAACTCTTTTGGCTGTCATGCTGCACAGTTCAAACTACAATTTGCAAACTTATGATTTGTGATGCTTGTGCTTTGCAGGAATTGGAAGAGTTTTATTTTTTGCTTTATCCTGCCTTATCCCACCTGCACTCAGAGATCTCTAGAAGATGTCACAGATAACCTTATCAGTTTCTCCAGGCTTATGCTCTCTAGTAAACTTTGCGGTGGTTTCTTAATTCCTGTTTTAGGAAAAAAACTGTTCAGTTTAATATTTTCTGCTCAGGCAAGCAATCTATAACTGAACTCTTTACTTGATCCCACTTACACAATCTGGGCTCAGACAAGGCCTTCTTCTTCACCCCAATGTACACCTATAGAGATTCTACACAGCAACTTACATCTATGAATACATCTGTGAGGAAGAGCTCCTGGTTGCAAAATAACAATGCTAGGCTTTCAATGGGAATTTACAGTATATAAATTTAAAAAAAAACACTCTCTGGACAGCCACCATATTTTTTTCTCTTCTCAGGGATTCTGGTACTTAGCCAGACAAATGCATACTAGATGTTCTGAAATGTGTTTGTATGGATGGGATGAGACAATTTATTTTCCCTCTTTCTGTGTGGAATGAGAGAAGGGGACATTTACTGCTCCTGGAGCTATGGAGGTTTAAAGAACTGAATACTATTTAAAAATATATATTATTCAGCTTGTTGTCTGGAGGAAGTGTTGATTTATCTTGTTTCTTCTCAGCCCTCTGGGATTGGCTGAAGACCATCTCATAGATGTGAATAAAATGCTTAGGCAGGACTGAGTCAGGTGTGAAAGTGCTTTTTTCCCCTTTTAGCAGTTTCATTAACTATTTCACTTTGACTGTATTCAGTGGGAAAAAACCTTAGAATTATCAGAGGGAAATGGCTTTTGGTTCAGTCAAAATAGGAGTGCCTAATCTAACCCATACATTCCCTTAGAGTAGACTATCCAAGATATTTTCACCAACAGAGAGAAGAATTCTATCTCAAATTTCCCATCCTGGCCATGTCTCTGACTTTGGACAGGGAAATCTAACTACTTTTATGATTCACAAATATCCCAGAGCCCATAAGAGAACAACCTATGTGTATGGGAAAAGTAATGGCTTGAGATGGTGGGGTTTATTTATTTATTTTAGTTCTTAACTCCTAAGTATTACCAAATTCTGACATTAAGGCAAGTGAGAAAAGGTGCCTACACTCTTGCCTTAATGTCAGAATTTGGTAATACTTAGTTTATAAAATGAATCCATAACTTACAAACCGATTAGCTAATTTAACCAAAACGTTAGTGTGGTGAGGTGAATGTATGCATTCTTTTTATTAATAGAAATGAATCATTGTGGTTGATTTTCCTATATGTAACCCAGTGGAGTTGATAAGATTTGTTCACTTGTGGAAGAAGGATGCTACTAAATTGTTGTCATTTTTGTGTATGCTTCATCCTCAGATATTGATGAATGTGCAATGGGAACCCACAACTGTTCATCAGCAGAATCTTGCTATAATATTCAAGGCAGCTTCCGATGCCTTTTAATTGAGTGTCCACCAAATTACAGAAAAGTGTCTGATATGTAAGTCTAATAATTGCCCCTCTACATAGCAACTAATCACATTAAGTAATGCTCAGAGCTCTTAATAATTACTCAGCTGAACATGGTAGAGTTCTTTTCTCAAAATCAAACATACATGTACTTACATGCATACACATATATACCATCCTCATTTACACTTACTCCATTTTCTCTTGTGAATGTAGTCCCCATAGTCATCCATGTCCTTGCCTTGTCCTTCCAAATTAAACTTCAGCAATAAAAATGTGACAAATATTACCATAACATTTTCTAGAAGCTTGTTTACAGTCAGGGCATGACATCTATATATTATATAATAATGCTTAGGAAACTGGAATAAGATACATTTAATTATTCTGATGAACCGGCCATAGCCCTTATGGGTTGGTAGTGTTTTTTTTTTAATAGTCTTAACCATTTTTTGATAGTTGAATCTCATGTTGCTGTAAAAGCTATGATATTAAAAGCCATACAGGTGCTCTAAGGGACAAAATGTGAAGTTAGTTTTATCCCCAGATAAATAAGAACGCATGAGGATCCAGGCATGTTCCCATTAAATAAAAGTTTTAAAAACAACTGGCATGGTGTTCACAATAAATGATCTATGGATCTTATATTACTCCTAAAGGAGGCCTCAGTTAATGAGAGAAAACATCATCCTACAGAAAATGAGAAGCAGAAGGTGACATTAGGGAGACACTGGGTAATCCATGTTTTAAATCAGAAAGTTACCAAATTACTAATGAGAGAATATATTTGAAATACGGTAACCTTATGGAATAGGAAGAAGATAAAGGGTACATCTGGAGAAGGCAAGATTTAGGGCTAGAAGCCCCCCCCCAAAAAAAAATGTCCTCCCATCCACCAGGTATGGGAGCAGGCTGAACAAGAGAGAAGGGTCCAAAGTGAAAAGAACCAGAGAACTTATATAGAAGCAGGGACTGCAAGCCTATGGATTTTTACTGGAGAAAATTATTTTTTGGAGGAAACCATGTATTCAGAGTATAGAAAAAAGACACAGAAATCTATCATTCAGAATTATGTGCAAGGAAGGCATTGCACAATTGCACAGTAGATGGGATTTTCAGGCATAGTTTATCTGATAGAGATCTACAACTTTTAAAAGAAGACCATCATTTGTCTCCACTCCTCTGAATGAGCCATTCAGAATTATGGTGGAAATATAATGGGCTCTTTGACTGTTTTGAAGGCGACAAAATTCCTCCTGCACCCACTAAGGTTCCTGCCCTTTGGAACATCATCCTTCTGAGATTAGATTAGTCCCAATCTTGCTGGCTCTTTCTTAGGGTCTGAAAACTTGGCTTTGTGGCCCTGAGTATGTGATCAAGGCCATCCCTTGGCTTTGCTGATAGTTGTTTTTATAATATTATGTTATTATGTATTTTTATTTTTATATTGGATATTTTATTGTGATATGTATTGTATATGGGTGGCTACATAAATTGAATAAATAAACATTTAGAAAATCAGATATAATCTATAAAGGATATAAATGTTAATTCCTCTGTGAGGTCTAAAAGCTACTCTTTGTTACATCTTAAGAAAACTTCACCTTATTCCCAGTTGCTGAGATTAAAAAAAAGAAAGAAAAAGAAATTACAATCATTATACAAATCTTTATTAGATAAGCACAGCTCTTGGGATATCTGTTGTATGCCATAGGGTATCCTAGCCTAGGAACTTATAGAAAGTTAAAAGTACAAAAAGAAAATTTACTTAAATTATAAACTAAAAGCAACTATTCAAAGACTTTAGCATATGAGAGCCATATAATTTGAAACAAGGTTTAAACAGGATGTACAGTACCTGGCTTTAAGAATGTATCACTCATCCCCATAGAAATGAAGATACCTCAGTGAAGATCTTTTAGTTTACAAAGATGCATGGTAATAAGGTAGAGAAGGTCCAAAGAAAGGCTCAGGCCAAACCATAAAGATCAAAACTCATGCAATAAAAGGTTTATTTGCAAAACCTGCTATCAGTGCAGCACTCTAATAAATTCTAGGAACAATAGGATCAGTATTGATTATTTACTAGTATTTACATGTAAATTATTTACTATAACTTACATGCTGTCCATTTCTAGAATCAGAGTGGCTTACTGTATCAATATCAGCAGCTTAAAGACCGTTTCTTACAATTATATCAATTCAGGTCAATGTGCCACTGCTTTGTATTATGTTATTTATTCCTAAGTGTCTTTCTGGAGACATGTGTCTTTCCAGGTCCCTGGAAATGTAATGACAACGGGGGGAGGGGGAGAGGTGGAATATCTAGGTCTAAGGTATTCCTAAGGAGGGGTCCATCATTGAGAAGGCTCAAGCCAGAATGTCCTAAATATGACATTTTACTAAGTGATAAGATCTTTGGCAAACCCTCCCTTCCAGTTATTACTGACCAGGCAGTTTCAACACAGGGAAAGCAATCATGACAATATCTAGGCCCTGAACTATATAGAGCTCTAAAGGTGACAACCAGCAAGTTGAATTGCATCTAAGGCTAACTCTTCATCAGTGCAGCTCTCACAATAGTTATATACCCATAAGCATCCAGGATGCTTCAGGTTTAATCAGCTGAAATTTAGGTTTGTCTTCTAAGGCTGGGGTCCCCAACACCCGGTCCATGGACCACTACTGGGCTGTGGCATGCCAGCAACCGGTCTGCACAAACAAGCAGAGCCCCATCTGTGAGATGCAGGCAGAACACAAAACCACACACTCTCTAGTCCACGGAAAAACCTCTCTCCACGGAACTGGTCCCTGGTGCCCAAAAGGTTGGGGACCTCTGTTCTAAGGAGTGTCATATAGAATGCATTGTGATAATCCAATAATGCAAGGTAACTGAGTCAGGCTTCCTGATCCAGGAAAGATCACTGCTGACACACAAGATGCTCTTTTATAAGTTTTATAAATGTCTATATACCACAAACTGATATCTTACTCTGACATTTTCATTTGATACAGTATGTTCAGCCACAGAACCATTCCAAAAAGTGTTGCATAATGCAAGTTTTGCATAAGTCGGATTGCTGTGGAATTCATGAAACACTATTTTGATACACATGCATAAATGCTTACCTGCACAACAGAGTTCCACGAAGGAACTATCACACGGTTCATGATGCGAACTTTGTAAGCACAAGTCCTGGGGATTTCATGTGGCCTGATCAAGAGTACTATGATTCGATGAATCTCATGGTTCATTTCCAGACCAACCTATGCAAAGTAATTTTCTAAGTATTCCTTTAAGTTCATTGCAGTTTCCAGGATAGGTTTTCAGATTCATGACCTCTTGATATTTGGCTGTTACCTTGATAATTGCATTGACATAGTGAGGATTATACAAGAAGAGCAAGCAGCTGCTAATTGTACAGTCAGTAATATTCAACCCTGCTACGTATTGCTTAATGCCAGAGACAGATTTCCTGGAACTCTGCACGCTGTCCAAGAGCTTGTCTTCAAACCCCAGTTACTGAAGTGCTAAATATTTCCTATTTCTCTTCTCTCAGGAGATGTGAACGTATCAACTGTTTCAACTATTTGGATTGTCAGAACACTGCACTCCGCATTACTTATTATCAGCTTAATTTCCAAACCAACATTGTTGTTCCAGCTCATATTTTCCGAATTGGTCCCTCGCCTGCTTATGCCGGAGACAACATAATCCTTACAATCAACAAAGGAAATGAAGAAAACTACTTCAATACCAGAAAGCTTAATTCCTATACCGGTATAGTCTATCTTCAGAGGCAAGTGAGGGAACCCAAAGACTTCTTGCTAGATGTTGAAATGAAGCTTTGGCGTCAAGGAACCTACACAACGTTTATGGCCAAAATTTATATTTTCATTACATCTCATGCATACTAAGATGGATGTATTACTGTTGAAGCTCATTGGTGCTATTTTTTAAAAAATCTTTCCTACCAAAGCTTGTGGTAATAGAGAAAAAGACTGATAGAAAAATATAGCCTCTCATATTTTTTTCCTAGCTCCTAAAATATCTTTGTTTTTGTAAAATTAACTTAAAATATATTCACCTGTTTCTCTTTTAACTCTGAATGTTTAACTGAGCAAAATAAGGCTGTTGAGCTTTGATGCACAGTAGTTATGCTGTCCTTTAAAAGTTATTTTGATATTTCACCAATGACAACCTCAGAATTAGTTATCAGGAATGGGGGCATGATCTACCCAAATATAAACAATCCAGATAAGATGGAATTCAAAGGGAAAATAAATATGTAGCTGTTAAAACCAATTGTACTTGAAAGATGCTTAAGTGCAATTCAGTTGAGCTCACGAGAGGGCAGAAGGCCAATTCCCAGTCTTTAAAACAACTATATAAAAAAAGAAAAGAAATTGCATGTCAGACAGTGATCTTTTTTCACTTACTGACAATTACACAATGTAGTTTTAAAGAGAGAGAAAATCTTCCTTTTCTGAATATGCCCATAATATGTGATGAGAACTTGATGTGCCAATCACATTCTGTTTTTATTTCTCCATCTTCCTGTAACACATTAGTGAATCAGATATTGATCTATCTAGGTGTTCCCCCTTCATTGATTTACCCACCCTGTTACTAAAGCTATTGCCTCCTCTGTTTAAGTTGGAAATTATAGCTACAATACAGAGGAACAAATACGTAAGTGACCAGGAATAAGTCTGATCAAACTTAATATGCATATAGCCCTCACAGTTAAATCACCTGGAAAAATCTCCTCATATAGTATTTATATAATCAACCTTTACTTTTCCCATATCTTAGCAAATGTCACTGTGAGGATTTTCCATAGAGTTACTTTTCCACCTTATTCAAGGTTATTGGTACTCTAATACCATAGGATGGGAAGTTTATCCTGCAACTTCTGAGACTTGCTATTTGCTGTGCTTCTCGTGTAAATTCTTGGGACTGACTGTGCCAGGAGTTACAGATGTACATCCTCCTTTCTGGTACATTCATGCCAGCAGTAAAGGTAGTCCTCGACTTATGACTATAATTGACCCCAAAATTTCTGTTGCTAAGTGAAAGGTTTGTTAAGTGTGTTTTGCCCCATTTCTTGCTATCGTTTTTAAGAGAATCACTGTAGTTGTTAAATTAGTAATGTGCTTGTTAAGTGAATCTGGCTTCCCTATCGACTTTGCTTGTCAGAAGATGACAAAAGGTGGTCACGTGACCCCGGGACACTGCAACCATCATAAATATAAGTCAGTTGCCAAGCATCTGAATTTTGATCACATGACCATGGGGATGCTGCAATGGTCATAAATCACTTTTTTCAGTATCCTTGTAATTTTGAACAGTTACAAGTACTGTAAATGAGCTGTTGTAAGTTGAGGACTGCCAGTATAAAACTGTTACCACACTTTGTTGGCCAATAAAATTGTTGTATAGCTCTCTCTTTGCTCTAAGAAATACATGAAGGGTGAACATCTATGTCAAGCTGGAGGCTCCCAAGAGCCTTCTCAGGCAAATGCTGAGGATCCAGGGTCCCACCACTGTGCCTCATGATGGAGACATGTGGTTTGCACACCGTGGCAGCTTGTTTTCTGAAAGAAGCCTCATGAAAGATACTGTACATACAGTGGGTGAACCTAGGAGTCATCCTTTGAATCCAAACAAGCCCTGGCATTTAATTCCTTGGATGTACTGGGCTCCCTTTAAAAGAACGGCTCATCTTAGCCACTCAAGTTGCATAGTACTAATGCTACAAGCAACTAGATGACTGTTAGAGACAATGTCTGGCAGCAAACCAAGAACAATATGATGATTTACTCAGAGTAATTTCTTTATTGTTGCTCAGCCACAGAAAAAATCTTGCCAGACTAAAACACTATCTGCACAATGGTCAGATATGCCCTGTAAATAGCTAGGGAGGGCCTGTTCTGCATATCAAGGATTCCAGACTGATTTGCCCCTTAGCTGCTCCTTCCTGCCAACAGTTCTGCACCAGACTCCATCACATACAAGAGAACGAGTATGGATGTTACTTCTGCTGCCATCTAGTAGTTCAGTTTTTGGCACTCCTTTGGGAGCTTCTACGGATTTCCCCCCCCCTCCCTTGTTATCCTGCTCTGGGGAAATCAAGGCTGCCTAGAAGGAAAGAATAGCCATGTATTTAACCATTTTCCTATACCTCTCAGGAGGATGTTTACTTCCCAGGTCCATAGTGAAGCATATCAGCCTGTGTAACTTGTCTTGTAAATAGCAATCTATATCTCGTTCTATGCAACTTTCCAAGATAAAAAACCCATCTCTGATATTGCACTCAACACAGATGAACATCTCTTAAGTGGTCCATATTGTGATAACAGACATTTAGAGACACAATGAGCCTGTAACTTAAACCCCATTTATTTGGAAACTAGTCCCATTCAGCACAAACTGGAATTATTTCTGAATAACATAGAGAATACTCTGCCATTCACTCACTATTACATTTTCCCCCTCCCCTTGAAAGGGATGCATGCTTAACTGACAATCTTTAATTTAAAATTAAATAAGGACTTAACACCAAGAGGAAGTTGATCTACACGTACAGTGAAGTAACAACAATGGATGCACGGCGTCTTCTTGATGAAATGTACCTTGCTAATTGGGGCGTTTGTTTGGCTTTGTTTTGAAATTCTATTCTGAAGGGACACTTTATTTTCTAGGAATGTTAGATGCAGATAAGATGTATTATAATTTTTCAAGGAAATATCAAAGATGAAAAATGCCAGACCAAGATACTAAAATGTTACAGTACTGAATACCTGATTGTATTGCATGGCTATCCAATTAAGATAAACTTGAAGTAAAGTGATAGGTGTGTTTTCTACTTTTCTAGCTTGAATTACCCAACAAAACTGGAAGACTATTTTGCAGTGTATGTAGACTATATAGCATACTAATAGCCCAATGCGAAAATGTACATTTTTATATTGCTCCTACTCTATATAAAAAACTGAATGAGATTGAAGCCTATAGCCCATATGTGCTAATAGATACTTTAATCAAAAGATCTGTAGAAATTTACAAATGAACAGTGATTGTTAAATAAAATATTTGGGTTTTCTAGATAAAATAGTTTCTAGGATTCAACTTCTACTTGAATAGTCATTAACTTGGTTATATACTGTTTGCTAGCAGCATAGCCACAACCCACATCTTCATATACAGCATCTATTTTGGGTATGATTGAAATATTTTCAATCCTTTCATATATTTGAAATATTTTCCTAATTGTGAAGATAATGCCTTCCTCCAGCTGAGCTTAACTTTTAATAACTTTGGTCACATCCATGGACTTTTCTGGTGATGTCTTCTTCAAGTATTAATCAGGTCCCTGGTTAGTAGTTTCCAACATCTGTTAAGGTCAGTTAGATGCTATACCTGGTGTGGTGGTGCATCTTAGACACTACGGCTCTTCCTAAGAATTGTTTTGTGACATATTGGAACATGCATGGGGACCCACATTTGTAAGCCTTTGGAAGCATGTCTTGGGCTGTCTCCACATGCAAAGTGGCCAAACAAAAATCTTAGCAGTACATTAACAATTTGAAAAGAAGTGTTGCAGTGTAGTGCGGTTACACCTCTTTCAAAGGCTTTGTTCAGCCCTTTGTACAATAAGTTACTTTTTTCAGCGCTGTTGTAATTTCAAATGGTCACTAAACAAATGGTTGTAAATTGAGGACTACCTGTACACATAAGACATGCAGTACTCAAAACTGATTCTCCTGAAATGTCGTATGAATCCAAAAAGAAGAATGTTTGTGAATTCTGCTTAAATTCAAGAATTTCAAGTTGGTTGCAGCAACTGTAGCATGTTTTTGCTTATGGCCCTGCTGTAACACAGTAATCAGCATATGTTGATATACTAGGCAAAATTTCCATCTTCCATCCAGGATATTTCAGTGTTCATAAAAGCACTGGTTTTATTGTCATTCTATTAGGTGTCAAAGGATCAATAAAATTATGTGGGGGCATCAGGTTTCAAAAGGGAAACGTTACAATTTCCCCCCCCCCAATGTTCAGACTTTTAAGTGAAGATAATTAAGAAAATGGAACACTGTTTAATATGTATTATTTAGCATAGATCAGTGAACTCATGCAAAGAAAATGAGTCCTTGTACATGTTTAATGCATTTTGAACAAAAATAGGATGTTCAGCAACTTCTCCCCTCTGCAGGGCATTGGCCTATCTGTCTAAGCACTCTAAGTACTTGGGTCAAAGGAAGTAAAAGTTGTGAGAAAAAGAGGGAAAGCCAACTCTCCTTTCTGCCTTGACCTGTGTAAAATCAGCAGTACACAAGAAATGGCAATGCCTCCACAATGGACTTTCTCCCAGACTCCATAGCACTGTTCTGCTTAGAAATGTTATTATGGCATGTGGCATTCATAAATTGGTCTCCTATATTAACCTACCCTAAAGACACCAACCGCCAAAGTGACAGTATTAGAAGAAAAAGGGAAACCAATGCATTATCACAAGCTTTTCCACAGTATGGTATCTTTTAACCTCAAATAAATACATAAAAAGTAAAAAAAAGGATAGGTAAAGATTTCTTCAAGCTTAGCTTGACACTTTGTGACTTCATGGTTATCTCCAACACATACAAACTTGTCATTGCCCTTCTTTGAGGCATGTTGTTTCTCTCTTCTCATTCCATTAACTTTTCACATTTAAAATAATGTTCTTTTAATGTCACTGCAATTTAAATCCATTAACTGTTGTCCTACCCACTGGTGCAGCCAAGAACAACTCTGCTGTCTTCCATATGACAATATTTCAAATACTCTCCCTTCTTCCACGCTGAGCAATTTCTTTAAGCCACATCATTATAGACTATTCAAATTTAACAATGCTCTTCTTAAAATATGAAATCCAGAACTGGACATAATAATCCTAAAGTGGTTTGGGAATAAAATAATAATTTCTTCCCATAATCTCGATGCAAGGATTTTGTTAAAATGTGTTATAGCTTGGAGCCAAACTTAACTCTTTTTTTGTAGCAGCATTTCACTTGTGGATTATAATGATCACAGTAATACTGTGATTCACTAACCATATGCATGTTTATTGGGAAGTAAGCTCTATTAAATTTAATTGACCTTAATCCAAACTAAATGTGGAAAGGGATGCAGCCTAAGAAGCCCAAATGTTTTGCACATGTGTTGCTGCCAAGCCAGCTCATTCTTAGATAATAATGCAGTTACTTTGCCTCTAACATGATTAGCAAAGCACTTCCCTCTTCAGGCACGATCAACTTTGCCATACCTTAATCCTCAGACCATGTTCAATTTTTTTTAAAAAAAAAGAAAGAAAGAAAGAAAAATGTCACAAGCTGACAGCTTTATTGTTCATTCTTCCATGCCTATCCATTTTTTATAGACAAGCCCTCTATAGTTTAATTGAAGCATGATAACATGAAATGCCATATTAATTTTCAATTGTTATACCGCACTTGGTTGCATTTTGATCTCACTAAATGGTAAACAACAAACTATGTGGCACTTATTGAGAAAGCCCACTGCAATGCTGTTTTCTGACTTTTTTTAAAAAAAAAGCTTATAGAAATTCACTGGCCACGGCCCCAACAGAAGCTGGATTTCTATTTGCTGTCACAAATATCCTAAGAACTTGATTTTTATATTTTAACACTTAGTTTACATTTCATTATTATTTTGCATTTGCTTATATTATGAATTCTTTTTAAGCAGCACACAGTGTAGCCTATGATCAGTTTCTACTTTCTCGTCTCTTTTTTTTAATGTTTCCAATCTCTGTAAAAAGGATTTTTTGACTGCAGAACTGTGATTTCCACCTTTTTTTGAAACAGCCAAAATATCTCCAGAATGAAATTATTTTAAATCTGCATTCCAGATTCTGAGTATTTTTAACAGTTGTGTGGTTTTTCCAAATTCTTGCAAGACTTACTCCACTAGGACAATGAAGCTTTTCAGACTAGAAAGCAAAAATAAAAAAAAATAAAAT